GTGGCAGAGCTGGGGGGCACAGAACACGGTGTGGCAGAGCTGGGGGGGCTCAGGGCACAGAACACGGCGTGGCAGAGCTGGGGGGGCACAGGACACGGTGTGGCGGAGGGAGGCACATTCATGGAGGCTGGGGCGCATCTCACCCTCCATGTCTGCCATCATGGCCTCGTATCTGTGCCGGAGTTTGCTAAGGCTCTTCACCTTTTCCTCCTCCTCAGCCGCCTGGGAGGAGAACTCTGCCAGGCGCTCCTCCAGTAGCCGCCGCTCCTGGGGACGCAGCGGGGAAGCATGTGTCAGTGGGGCTCCCCCGCCCATCCTGGGCCTCCAGTGATGGGGAGCTCACTACCGCCTCCCAGCCGGTCGGCAGCAGCAGCCGCGGCTTCCTGAGCTCGGCCCGTTCTAAGCCCCCGATCTCACAGAGGAGTGAGCCGAGGCACGCGGCCCACCTTGCCCAGCTTGGCGTTCTGGTCCTCCAGGAGCAGCAGATCCTCCTCCGTCTTCTTCAGCCGGGCCTCGGTGGTCACCTTCTCCAGCTGCAGCTTCTGCCGGGCCCCCTCCTCTGCCTCGAGGTGCTGCTCCAGCTCCTGCGGGGTGGCGGGGAGTGGGGGAGGGGGGTCACCGCGGGCACAGGCCCGCCTGCCGCCCCCCTCTCTGGCGTCCCCGCCATGGGAGGCCGACCTCCGCCTCGTGGGTGGACCAGCTCCCACGCCAGGGCTCTGGGCACAGCAGGGCCCAATCTGGGCTGAGCCCAGTTCCACACGGGCCGTACTCATCCCTTACAGGGTGGACTGGTCCTCCCATACCACATGGGCCATGCCCATCAGGGAGAGGGACTGAAGGGGGCTCCCAGGTGAGGGAATGCCCTCCGCCAGCACAGGTAGGGACCTCCTCCCAGGGCGGTAGTGACCTCGTGACCGGCAGGGTCACACACAGAGCTGGTCTCAGAGGCAGGACTGAGGTCAGTCACCTGCACGTGCTGCTGCAGCCGCTTCTTGTCCGTCTCCAGCTGCACGCTGCGCTCCTCCTCCTCGCCCACCCGGGCCTCCAGCATGCCCACCACCGTCTCCAGCTCCTGCTTCCGGGCCGCCAGGCGGCCGCGGGTCTCCTCAGCCTCGGCACACAGCTCGGCCTCTGCCCGCAGCTGTTCCGAGAGCCGGGCTCTCTCCTCCTCCAGCTGAATGAGGGCCAGGGGAGCAGAGGTCAAGGAGGTGGCAGGCCCACAGCCCCAGATGCACTGCCTCTGATCCTGGCATTCGAGGCTCTCAACAAGGGAGTCCCGGCTCCTCGGGCCTCGTTGCCCACCCCTTCCTACACACATGCTGGGTTCCTGACCCTGAGCCTGAGCCTGACATGCCGTTGCCTGTGTCTGGCTCTGCCCACGCGGTCCCCCTGCTTTAGAAACTCTCCTCTGAAGCCTTCCCTGGCGATCCCTCCTCCCCAGCCCTTTGGTTCTCCCGTTCTCCACTGCTGAATCCTCCCCAGGCTTGTGTACACGCAGGGTCACACACACCCTGGACACGCTGCCACACGTGCATGGTCACACCCTGACAACCCCACTCTGCTCTAGAACCTCCCATGGCTCCCTATGGCCTGCAAGGTCTCCAGTCTTCTCTTGACGGCTGTCTGTCTTTGTCCATTGATTCCCACCCAAAAACCTCTGGGCTGTTCTCTCTTCATCTGCCAGATGGGGCGTTTCCTGGGTCATCCGTCTGCTGTGGTCCTACCATTCTAGACCAGCCTGAGGGGCGCAGGCAGCATCCTTCTATGGATGGAGAGGTCACTACCTACACTGGTCACTGGGCTGGTGAGGGGAAGGGGGCCCGGGCCCATCCCTGGGCCTCACCTGGAGCACTCGGCCTTGCAGCTGGTCCAGCTCACGGGCACTCTGCTGCTGCAGCTCCTGCACTTTCTGGAGCTCCTGGGCCCGTGCCTGGAGGACCTCATCTTGGCGGGTCACCTGAAGAAGAGGCTTCACCTGGAGAGGGAGAGGAAGGGAAGGTCAGAGGAGCTAGGGGAGAGCGGAGAGGAGGGCCAGGTGGCCAGGGTCTGAGAGCCCACACTCCCCACATAGCAATGCTTTGGAGAGGGAAAAATAAAGGGCTGGGGGGGGCGGAGTTAAAGGACACCTCCCCTGCCCACTCTGGGAGGGCTTGTGCCATCTGGGCATGGCCCTTCCTATCTCTGGGCCTCAGTTTCCTCATCTGTAAAATGATGATGAGAGGGGGAGGGACTCTAAGGGCCCTTCCAGGTTTACGTCCAGAAATCCCAAACTCTTGTCAACTGACTAACAAGCATTAATGAAGCACCAGGCACTGGGCTAAGCTAGTCCTGCCCTGCAGGGGCTTATGCTCTAATGGGGCCAACAACACATGGGCAGAACTGGGCGCATGCACGATATATACAGAAAAGACACAAGGTCACCTCAGGGGGAGGGCAGCTCCCTCGGCTGGCTGGGGGCCAGGGGGCAGAGGGCAGGAGGGACAGAGGCTTGAGGTCACCTCAGGGGGAGGGCAGCTCCCTCGGCTGGTCAGGTGGTCAGGGGGCAGAGGGCAGGAGAAACAGAGACTCGAGGTCACCTCAGGGGCAGGGCAGCTCCCTCGGCTGGCTGGGGGCCAGGGGGCGGAGGGCAGGAGGGACAGAGGCTTGAGGTCACCTCAGGGGGAGGGCAGCTCCCTCGGCTGGTCAGGGGGCAGGGGGGACGGTGGCGAGCACCCTCTGCCAGCTAAGAATGGAGATGAGAAGGCAGCCTGGGAAGGGCTGTACTCACACCTGGAGGGTGTGACACATTCCAAATCTCTGTCTGCCCAAAGTCTAGCTGTGCCACCCACAAGCACTAGAAGCTCCTTCTCCCCATAGACAAAGCAGTCAGTGATTGGGGCTGGACTTGGGGAGAGACAGAGGAACAGTGGAGAGAGCTGAGCTCACATCCCACCTTTATTGCTTGCTACCTGCCAGGCCTCAGTTTCCTCCTCTGTGAAATGGGTCTGATTTCTAGGGCCCCCCCCCCCAGCTCCCCATGAGGTGGCAGGATGGGACAGTCCCTCACCTTGGTAAAGAGGCGCCACCACTGCCAATGGCGGAGCTTGAGGTAGGCGGCACAGTTCCTCTGCATCACACGCAGGGCACTCTGCTGCTGCTGGCGTCTGTGGAAAGCCCTGTGGGCCAGGAAGAGCGGGCTCAGCCCAGCTGCCCGCAGAGGCCCCAGGAGGGCATCCGGGGGCAGGGGAGGGCATACAGGGGCAGGGGAGGGCACTTCATCTAATACCCTCCTTGGAAACAAGACGGAAGTTACTCTAGACCAGATAAGGTGGTGAGCTCCCCGTTTGTTACCTGCTGTCATTGGGTAGCCTCAAGCCCAAGGCTCCTGGACCCCTCATCATACAGCAGTGGCCTCCATCCTTCCCCTCTCCCCTGGGGCCCTGGCTTGGAAATAGGGGAGGCCCCTCGGGGGTCAGCTGCCTGTGGGGAGCCCTTCAAGGGCAGAAAAGGGCTCGGGCCAGGGCATCCCTAGCAAGCCAGCCTCCCGCCCACCTTCGGGCTAAGTATCCTCGGGCGGCCGCCTGGAAGGACACGATGATGTCTGTGATCTTGAGGTCTCGCTCTTCCTCCAACTGGGCCAGGACGCCGGCCCGGAAAAAGATTTTGCTTTGGCCAACACGGTACAGGTTGGGGTCGAGCTCCAGGGCCTGGATCTGGGGTGGGGAGCATGAGGCGAGTCAGTTGGAGGGGGGTGGGGTGAAGGGTGAGGAGCCTTGCCCCGCCCTCCAGGCCCAGCCCCAGCCCCACCCCTCCACACTCAGCCCCACCCCCCAGTCCAGCCCCTCTAGGTCCCCAACTCTGTCCCTCCAGGACCCGCCCCAGCCCCTTACCATTTTCTCACAGGCCTGTTTCCCATCCATGAAGCCCTTGGGGATGGCACTGGGAGTCAGGATCTCATACCTGCCAGGTGAGCGGAGGGGCAGGGAAGGACAGTGAGGTGGACGAGAAGGAGAGAGGGCCGGGCGCCTGGGCGCCCCCCCCAACTCCCCCTTCCCACAGCTAAGGACCGACTCCTTCTGGCCCAGTCATCAGCCATCCAACACACTCACCCCGCGTAGGCCCTCCCCCTGTCGGAGCCATAATTAGGAAGCTTTGAGCCCAGAGCAAGGACTTGGGGTCTTGGGCAGAAGGGCCGGGGGAGGAAGCCTAGCTGGCAACTTCCTATCTAGACAACTCTGTCGTTCAATGTGTGGCTGGACTGTGATTCCCCACCTGGTTGTATCTCCCAAAGGTGACGACTCCCAGAGGGGAGCCGCAGAAAGGCTGCCAGTCGAGGGCCAAGGGCACTAGAACAGCTTCCCAGGGAGGGACAGGCCTGGATGTGCCCTTACCCCACCCTGTGGCACCTGAAGGTGGCTGGATCACCTCCCCTCCGGCCCCAGCCCCGCCCTGGCCCACTGTTCACCTCTGCCGGAATTCCTGAAACAGGATTCGGTTGGGGAAACCCTGGCGACAGATGCGGATTCCCTCCAGGACCCCATTACAGCGCAGCTGGTCCAGCACCAGCCGGGGCTCCAGCTTCCCTGCCTGGGAGAGGAGAGGAATTCAGGCTAGAGCAGGGGGCAGGGCTGGGGGGTGGGGCAGAGAGCCTCTGGCAAAACCAGCTGCATAACCTTGGACAGCTCCCCCCTCCTCTTCCCTTCCTTCTTTTCCTCTTCCTCCTCCTCCCCCTCCCCCCTTCCTCCTCCTTGCCCTGATCCCTGGTCAGCCTGGCCTCCCTCGGCAGTCAGGGCCCTCTGACCCTCCTTGCATAGACAGTCTAGCCCACCATGTACTTGTGCCTCATGGGTGGGCTTAGAGGCCTGCTGCATACTGTACGAGGGCCCCGTGACAGCCGAGGACGGCCCGGAGCGTGGGGGAACGGCCACGGGAAGCATGACTGGCTGGGAGGTGAGGCTGAAGCCAAGACAATCTACTCCAGTCAGAACAACGGTCATCTTACTTTTGGGTTCCAAAAATTAGCTTCACCAGCCAAAGGCTGAGGAAGTCTCGTTAGACGTCACGATGGGGTGACCTGTGTAAAGCACCTTGCTTACAGAGCTTCAAGTGCTACACAAATGCTAGCTGCATATGTCATGTGAAATGGAGGTGGGGCTCTTAGTGGACCCCAAGCTCAACAAGTTCCTGCCTCCCCAGAACATCCCTGGGACTGACAGGTTGAGGAACTGAAGGCTCGGGATAGAAATCCAACAGGAGCCGGGGCCGGGGGGAGTGGGGACTCAGAGCAGGAAGGGGTCTTCAAGACTCTCCAGTCCCAGCCTGATAGGTATGAAGGGGGAGGGGCAGGATTGGAACACAGCCTCCGACTCCAAACCTAGTGTTTGCTCCTCTACGTCTTGAGCTTGGGGGAAATGGGTCTTTACAGGTGAGTGTGGATCCCAAAGTGTGGAGTAAGCCCCTGCTCTACGCCAGGCTCTGAGAGGGAGCTGGGAGCAAGAAGCCCACGTCCAGGAGGGCGCGAGGGCCCAGGGCGCTCACCCTCTTCTCGTGGTTGGGGATGATGCAGCGTACAAAGCTGGGGTTGGTATTGCTCAGCGTGGCCATGAGCCGACTCAGGGACTCCTTGTACAGCTGACCTACTGTCCGGAACATGCCGCGGCGTGGGCGTCCGCCAGGCGTGCCCCCGTCCCCAAGGCTGCTCACCTGCTCCAGACCCACGATGCCCTCCACTACAAGGCCGGGCCAGAGAGAGACGCGAGTCAGGGAGGCCCAGGAGGGGCAGGGGTCACCCCAGGGCCAGGGCCAGGCAGGCACCCGGAGAGAGTGACTTCAGCCGCGAGATAACCCTGAGATGGGCTACTGGGAGACGGGGTGGGGGCGGGGTACTCCAGGGTCCTGGGGCAGGGGAAAGGGGGCTGTCAAGAGGAGTGGTGTTGGGGGGGGTCACTCCCAGAGATGGAGGAAGGAGGGAGGGAGAAACAGACAGGCAGAAAGACAGAGACAGAGACGGGCAGGGAAGGAGGGAGAGACAGAGAGAGAGAGAGAAGGGGGTGGGAAGAGAAATAGAGATACAGAGAGATAAACAGAAAGAGACAGACAGGAAGGGAGGGAAAGGGAGAGGGAGAGGGAGAGAGAGAGTCAGAGACAGAGACAGAGAGAGACAGAGACAGAGAGACAGGAAGGGAGGGAGAGACAGAGACACAGAGACAGAGATACACCAGAGAGACAGGGAGAGAAAGACAGAAAGAGACAGATAGGAAGAAAGGGAAAGAGAGAGGGAGAGGGAGAGAGAGAGAGGAGGGAGGGAAAGAGGAATACTTGGGGGGGGTTAGTCAGGGGTTGGCCCCATGTGGTGGAGACCATATAGTCACACACAAAGCCTTCCAGGAGCTTAGACAAAGCTCCTGCTCACATCTGGCTCCTAAGCCTCCTGTCTCAGGGCTGCCAATGGCCAGGCGCCCTCTTTTCCTAGGCTAGGGGTCTGCTTTTGGAGGGTTCTTTCGGGAGGCTTAGCCTCCCTTCAGGCCAGCATGGCAGTGTGTCCAGGACCTACAGGTTGGGGTGGGGGTCAGCAGGGGACAGTCAGAGGCATCCTCCCGGCCGTCCTCACCGTCCTTCCAGATCTCCGCTGTGAGCTTGTCCGTGCTCTGGTGCAGGAGGGCTGCCACGCTGTCATTCAGTGGGTCCATGTTTTTCATCAGCCACTCGTTGGCCTTGTAATCCACCTGGGGGGAGGAGAGGGAGGTGGGGCAGGGGGCAGGCTCCTGCCTCTCAGGCTCAGTCACAGTAGGGATGGAAGCGCTGGCCCTACTTTCTACCCCTCCCCCCAAGCCAGATAGTATAAAACGGGATGGGGGGGGGGGTCTGTCCTTAATTGGGCTCCTGGTCTCACTCCCATCCACCATCACTGGTCTCTCCTTCATTTGCAGGCAGCACACATGCCCCTCCAAGTAGACGGAGTTCGCTGGGGTCAGCCTGGCTCCCCATTGCCCTGGCATAGCACACACGTGCTTGCACGCGCACATACACATTCACGTGTGCACACACACATGTGCACGCACCTTCCCGGCATAGTGCAGCACGCTGAAGTCTGCCTGGTCGCGCAGCTGCCGGGGCCGCTGGAACTTGGGGTGGCTGCCCTGCTCTTGGGTCACCTTCTCCACAAAGGACTTATCCGTGGCCTTGGGAAACCAGCACTCCTCGTCCAGTAGGGCCAGCAGCCCCGGGGGGTTGGCCTGTGGGGGAGGCCAGGCATGGGGGTCAGCGAGTTAGGAACCCCCCCCCCAGGCCCTCCTCCCCTCCTGGCCCCCCACCCCTCCAGCAGCAGCAGCGCTCACGGGCCTCTCGATGAGGTCGATGCAGGGCTGCAGGTCGAGGCCAAAGTCCAAGAAGATCCAGGGGATGCCCTCGCGCTGGTACTCCTCCTGCTCCAGCACGAACATGGTGTGGTTGAAGAGCTGCTGCAGCTTCTCGTTGGTATAGTTGATGCACAGCTGCTCGAAGGAGTTCAGCTGCAAAGAGGGGCCTGCCAGGTGAGCTGGCGGGGCTCGATAGTGGATGGGGCTGGTGAGGGGGAGAGGCCAGACAGTGGGCGGGGCAGGCCGGGTGGGCGGGGCTAGATAGGGGATAGGGAAGGCCAGGTGGGCGGGGCTGGTTGTGTGGGCCAGACTGGATAAGAGAGACCAGACAGTGGGGGGGAGGGAGAGGCCAGACAGTGGGCGGGGCAGGCCAGGTGGGCGGGTCTGGTTGTGTGGGCGGGGCTAGATAGGGGATAGGGCAGGCCAGTTGGGTGGGGCTAGATAGTGGATGGGGCTGGTCAGGGGGAAGAGGCCAGGTAGTGGGTGGGGTTCACCAGGTGGGCGGGGCTGGATAAGAGAAGCCAGACAGTTGGGGGGGGGAAGGCCAGGCAGTGGGCGGGGCAGGTTGTATGG